TGTATAAGGGCATGTTTGACCCGAATATTATGTCTTGGATGATATTCATTTGTGATATGTATCTTTTCCATTCTGAGTTATTCATTGTATTCTTGCTATGTGTGATCGGGGACCTGTGACTTCGCATTGTACTTTTCTAGACGCTTAGCGTATTGGATTGAGAAGAAAAGAAAAGAGAAAAATAATGATATTGTATATTTCTTCTCAATCTAATACGTCGCGGGCTTGTTCACATTCCGATTCCCCGGTATTTTTGGGAAGCGGGGTGTGACACCAACTCCCACTAGTGCACGAGTTTAAACTGGCCCTCACACCCTCCAAATGGTATAAGAGGTAAAACTATTCCTATGCTTCCATCTCTTGAGCCAAGTTACTAGTACAGGCGAACCGCTCAGAACAGGCGAACCGCTCAGATCAAGCGAATCGCTCAGATCAGGCGAATCGTTCAGATCAAGCGGATCAAGCAAGCCGATCAGTCTAGGCGAAATCCACTTTACCAGCTAAACACCCTGTCTTGGCGAATCTCTCAAAACAGGCGAGATTAGCATCTCAGGTGGGCGGCATCAAATGCCCACTTGGTCAAACCTTCAGATAGTTAGGACCAGAGCCAAAATCACTCGCCAATCCTCTTCTAAAGGATGGTGGGTCCTCAAAGTCGTTCCAATCACGACAGCCCCTGTCACGTTAACATTAAACCTCTGACAAAATCCACTTACCAATCCTCTTCAGAAGGATGGTAGGTCCCAACAGTCGCTCCAATCACGACAAGACCCCATCAAGTTAATGATCACCTCTGATGATTAGCACCGTTATTCCTACGAATAGCATAGCCTAAGTAATAGCCTACCATGCGACGTGCTATTACTTTTGTCAATAGTCACACTCCTACGTCCCTGAACTATTTGACCTATTCCAGATATTCTAACATTCCCTTAGGATAACTGATGGGTAGAGTCTACCACGCGATGGCTCCTACCACAATCAATTATCACATTCCCAAACGACGACAATTGTCGAAGGCAGTTTGGCAGACGACCTGTCTGTCGGTTCCCCAGGCAACAACTCGCCGAGAGGCGAGTCGAAGTTGAGTTCTTCAGTTGGCCGCAGAAGCGAACGATTGTTATTTGCTGCAAGCCAAATGTTGCTCTCTCGATCCCATTTGAGCTACAACACGAAGATCGGAGTTAACCCGACCACACGCTATGAGCAACAGAAGGCAGAACAAGGGCCCAAAATGACTAAGTCCAAAACAGAATGGTCAGAGGCTCGCCAAGTTCAACTCAAGTGCCAAACAGCGCAGACAAAGAAAGAGAAAACTGTGCATGCAAAGCAAGGATAAGCAAAACAAGCAAAAGAGCCACAACGGGCCAAAGTTTACATAAGTTTTCAGTTTAGTTGTGATGCTTGAGGCACCAACTAAGTTAACAAAACAACGAAAAAAAGGAGAGGGGACTTAGACAGCATGAGCATCACAGGAATTTCAGCAGGCTAAAAGAACCAATCTTAGCCTTGACCGCCGCACGATCCGCCTCACGCCAGATCCTCGCCTTCTCCTTTTGCTCCTGCTGCCGCTTGGCTAAGTCCACCTTGCTGTCTTCTTCCTCTTGGCGAAGAAGTTAGAGCTCCCGGTCCACCATCCCGGCAGCCTCGCTGAGCCTCCTCGCCTCACGTTTACTCTCCCGAAGCCTTGCCTCACCGCGGAGAGAACCGTCGTCCTCAAAGAAAGCGGCGTCCAAGTAGGCGTCCATCTGGTCCAGCACCGCTTGGTGTCGCTTGAGACGTTTGAGCTCGGCCTCCTTTGCCCGAATCCGCTTCGCCCACTACTCACGCTCGAGCAGGAGGCGCAGCGAGAGGGGCGGTAGCACGTCAGATCCGCTTCGCCCACTACTCACGCTCGAGCAGGAGGCGCAGCGAGAGGGGCGGTAGCACGTCAGAGGGATCGTCGTAGGCCAGCTCCTCGAGGCGGTACATCCACCCCTCCACGTGATGAAGTTCCTACTCACACTGCTGTGCGAGCGAAGTACCACCCGCACGGCGGACCTCCCTTAAACCCGCTTCCACGAGAGGAAGCGCATCATAGTATCTCCCGTCGCCCACGCCGACCGAGATGGCGATCCCCTGCACCGACCCTCCAACCTCTAGAGGGGCACGAACGCAGGGTGAGCCACGGGATCCGGAGTAGAGGACCCCTGGACTGAGCCCGCAGGAGAGGCCGGCGGCATGCCGACGTCGATGACGGTGGCAGAAGAGCCAACGCCCTCAGAATCGCTGTGGTCGGAAGCAGAAGCCATGAGGTAGGGAAGTTTTCCGCAGAGATCTTCTTCTAGCGGATTTTTCTCGAAGCAGTAAGGACTCTGCTGAAGAGGGGCGAGTACGGATATATATTCAAAAAGCCCAACGGCTGAGATTTGTTACCTCAGGCAATCGAACGGTTTGGGTGTCCAGCGATGCTTCGAACGCAACGGCAATAAAGGCCATTCCTCTCGGGACCCCAAACCGACCGATCGGATTAAGCACGAGAGGCGAAGCGTTCGGTCGCTTCGCCATTAATGAGCATTAATGCGCCCGCAGAGTCTTAGCTGGCAAGCACTTAGGCCCGCAGACGGACGCGTGGCACAAGCTTCGCCCACAGTTGGATTTCTGACTGTTGGACAAACTCACCACCATGCAAGTTTCGCCTGTAGTGTAAACTCGCCATCATACGAGTTTCGCCTGCAGCGTAAATTCGCCATCAATCGAGTTTGGTTTTCAACACAAACTCACCATCATACGGGTTTCGCCTGCAGTGTAAACTCGCCAGCAGCTGAGTTTAACCTCCAAGCAAAACTCGCCGCGATCGGGTTTCGCCTACAAACGACCTCGTCAATCAATTGAGTTTCGTCAGCAATATGAACTCATCAGGAGTCGAGTTTCATCATCCTAGCGAACTCGCCATCGCCTTAGTTTCGCCACCAGCGTAAACTCATCAGGATAGAGTTTGGCCTTGAAAGTAGACTCGTCGTCACGAAGGGAACTTCACCTGTGACGCGAGATTGCCGGCCATTACAGTGCAAAACATTGAGGGGCGATGTATTAGAAAGTGTACACATAGTGAGCAAACACAAACCTCATCAGATGTTTTTGAGACAGTACATTTGAACAAAGTTATGGTTTTTTTGCAACTGCGAAAGTCATAATATTACGTTCAAAGAAGCAAAACATGCACCCAGCTTTTAAGACAATACATTTGAACAAAGTTATGATTTCATAAACAAACGAGTCATAAGCAAAATGTCTTAATACAATCATAAGATCGAGGCCTCAGTCGAACACGCTGAAAGTAGAGAGCTCTTCTTTGGCCGCCGCCACTTTTCTCGCGTGGTCTTCCCGAGCTTTGTCTTCAGCAGCCTTCCGAACCCGAGCTTCAGAGCTTGACCTGGCGGCAGCATCTGCCTGGCGCAAGGCTAGGAGGCGTCGAGTTTCCGCCTCAGCGTTCTTACTGACCCTTACAACGTCGGACTGGAGCCCCTTCAAGTTCGCCTCCGCCTATCCCAATTCGGCCCTCAGGCGAGCCATAGTGCGATTGAGGTCGATAATTTGCTCCTCTAGCAAATGTTGTTGACCCACCCAGAAGTTGGCGATGGACTCCAAATCTGCTATTTCTTTGGAACGGACCTCCTGTTCCCAAGCTTCCTGACGCCTGGCATGAACCAGGCAGGACTCCATGTCAGCTTCTGGACCCTCCCGTAGCAATGTCTCTAACCCTATCATGCGTGACTCCAAGAGACGGAGTTCATACATGCAACGGGTAGCAAGCCGATTTTCGCCCGACTATCATGCGTGACTCCAAGAGACGGAGTTCATACATGCAACGGGTAGCAAGCCGATTTTCGCCCGATCGCCGCAAATCAACCACGCGATCAAGGAGAGACTACCTGAAGTTGTCGAAGCTGCCCATGCCAAGGTCGACAAGGGAGATCACCTGCCTCATGGCGTTCTCAAACTCTTCGACGTGAGCCTGCCAGGGCAAGGATTCGGAGGGAGCAGGCTCTTGGCCCGGAGCGAGCGCCGTAATGGGCAGAATCTCGAGGCAGGGTTCAGCTCCCGGCTGGGGAGCAGAGTCTGAGGCGGCGGAGGTCGCAGGACCTTCAGATTCGTCGTCCGAAATCAGGATAGGCTCGGCCGCATGCTCCTCGGCGGTCGGCGCCTCCCCTCGATCTGTAAAACACAACAACGACACAGAGAGGAGTCAGAGGAAGAATACCTGTTCAACCCACATGAGAGCCCGGATGAAAAGGTACCTTCGGCCGCAACGGCCTCAGCAGCGCCCGAAGAAGACGGTTCTTTCTTTTTCTTAGAAGCGACCCTCTTCACCTTCGGCACCATTGGGGGTATGAGGAAGGGAAAATTTGGGTTTACTCTGGGGGAAGACGATGAAAGAAGCTGTGGATCCTCGTAACAGAGGGTAAGGGGGTTAAATACCCTAAGAATCCTAGACGGTTACTCAATACTCAGATTGGACCGTTCAAGGCTAAAACAGTTGAAGGGTAAGGCAGAACAGATTGGATCTTACCTGGACGGCCAAGACCCAATGGTTTTTAGACACGATCTTCGACAACGGCCCGAATCGGGCGCGATGGACGAAGAGCCCCACTACGCCGCATTCAATACGAAGCGACGTGCTCACGTCTTCTTGGCTGATGTAAGTACAAACCGATACGTGGCCCACCGAAAGCGGAGCCCACCTGACGGTGAATTCGTTGCTGAGATATTCCGCGAATCAAAACCAATCACCCCTCTGGAACTGGAGTCAATTCCAAATCCGCCTGCGGATGAAATCCGCCCGCAGAGGAGACGAGCTTACGGCCGAAATTCGCCGACAGCTGAAGACCGCCCCTCACAACTAACACTCTAGTTAACACATGTTAAATGGAGCATGCACAGAAGTAATAGTGACCAAGAACGGAAAGATAATTTCATTTCATAAAGAAATCCTATTACAATGGCAAATTAAAGGCAAATTACAAGGTTTTCAACCGCAGTTCCGCCTCACGAATTTCCCTAGCATGACGAAGCTCTAGCCTCCTCAGGATCTCTTGGCGAAGATCTTCCTCAGTGCGTGAGGCCAAGTCTCGGACGGTCTCTTTGACCTCCCTATGGGCTCGATCCTTTTCCTCAGCGGAATTAGCCGTTAGTATCCGGCGAGATCCAATGCTTTCCAATTCCTTGGCCGCCTGTTCACGAGCCTTCTCTTGAATGGCCAATGAGGCTTGCACTTTAGCTATAACTTGCTTCAGATTCTCTACCTCCGAAGACAAGCGAGAAACACGGTTATCGGCCTTCTTAGCTATAACTTGCTTCAGATTCTCTACCTCCGAAGACAAGCGAGAAACACGGTTATCGGCCTTCTGCTGCTCGAGGGCCACCCGTTCATCCTCAGCCTTGGCCTGCTCCAACTCCGCTGACAATCTTGCCTCCAGTGACATGGTCTCGTTTAGACGGCGATCGCGTTCTTCCTCCGCTGCTCGGACTTCGCCGGATGCAAGATCCACAAGAGTGGAACTCTTCGCGCGAAGGGCAAGCAACTGTTGAACAGCTTCCTTCACTTCCTCCTTACGCTGGAAGTAGGGCTTCGCCGCAGTGTGGCCAAGCCTTTTGATTAAGAAGCACACGATGTAGTCGAGATCCTCTTCGAAATTCTCGAAGGGACAACTCTCCTCCAAAGCGAGCTTGATGCAGCCGGCTAGAGTGTCTTGGAAATCAGCCACAGATCGTGCCGCACTCCTTTTTCGCTCGCGCTCCAAGGGAGAGAGGGCAGCCTCCTCCACCGTGGATGAAATCACGGTTGAAGTACCTGTGGTCATAACCGTAGAAGTAGGGATTGGCGCCGCCAAAGCCGGTGTGACCAATGACGCCCTCGGAGCAGCGGTCACAGCATCAACGGCCGCCGCCGACAAGGAAGTGGTCACTTGCGGAGTAGAAGCCTCCCTTTGAAACAGAGACTCTCGCGCTGATGGACGATCCCCAGCCGACGCTGCCGCAGGAGCAGGAGATCCCTCTATTTGGCCGGGCGCATCCTCACGAGCCAACACCTCTTCCTCACTGGATAGCGCCTCATGAACCGAGATGTCGTCATCCTCCTCAGATTCGCCTGTCTCCCCAGACGAGCGACTCGCCCAAGAGGGAGGATCCTCTTTGCCAGCAACTTCATGGGCAGGGTCAGCTACGAATGCACGAAGAGGGTTAACAGAGGCCCCTCGAAAGGGACCCTATTGACAGTTAGGTACGGAAGGATGAGTAATGCTAAAACCTACGCTTACCTGAGCCTGTGGGCCCCTCTTCATCTCCAGCCTCCTCCTCTTCGTCAGAAGGAATGGAGATCACTTTCTCAACCGCACCTACATAGGCCCAATACAAGTGTCAAAAGGTGTAAGATCAACGTTGCGATCAAGAGTACTGTTGCAAAGATTACCTCCTGATGCGGACACAGAAGCCGCTAGAACTCCCGTCTGTGGCCTCACGCCAGATTGCGGAGGAGCGTCCTTCGAAGTCGCCGGAACTGCCCCCGATGCGGCAGAAGAGGTGGGCAGCACAGCTCCAGACCCCGGTGTCGCCGCTCCGGGGATGTTTACCTGGGGAACATTATCCTGACCCTCCGTCGCTCGGGCGGTCTCGACTGTCTCATCGCGACGGGCCTTCTTGGCCGCCTCCACTCGGGAACTTTCGGCCACGGTCTCTCGTTGACGTTTAGAGAGAAGCGAGCTACTCGGAGACAGAAGAGGCGTCCCCATCTGTCCAACTCTTGGACTCTGGACCAGTCTTGGGCGTTCAGATTCTCTTGGTTCACCAGGGGCATCCAACGAGGGACCAGGAGAAGGAACTCGAACCTCGGGAGCCTCAGATTCGTCTAAACCGGCATCAAAACTCTCGGTGTCCTCAACTGGATCCTCTGAGAGCAGCTCCCTAGTAGTTTAGCGGCCCCTTCGCCTTGAAGAACGGAGAGACCCTCTGAGAGGACGATCGCGTTCTGTCAGACATGAGCTCTGGAACCAGAAACCAGAGGGATTATCGCTGGCGCCTCGATACCACCGGCAGTATAGGAGCGTGTGGTGCAAATCACGATCCTTCGCGGGTAATTCAAAACGAGCCTGGGTGCCACCAGCATGGGTCCAGAACCATCCCCGAGCTCCGTCCACCAGTCCTCCTTCGAAGTGTAGGCAGGGATTGGCGTTGCCCATGTACAATTGATCGTATCCAAACTGGAGGGCAAACCTGCAAGGGATATACGGCTCGAGATAGCACACAGAACCTGTGCGTAGGATGTGATACCCCGACCGAATATTCACCAACCATCGAAAAGCGCCACGAGGGAGAGCCGTGTGATGTTCTGTCATTGGCACATCTCTAAGAGACTCTCCGTATCTTCCTCCGCTGAAGAAGGGGAAGAAACGACGAAAATTGTAGTGGACAAAATGGGAGAGCGTCTTCCGCGCGTCGGGAATGTCTCTACACTTCCAAGAGCACCTCTCCAAATGCTCAAGGAACAGAACGAACCTGTCTCCTTGAAGAGTCGCGGGAGCGCTCGTCAAACACTCACAGTGGTAAACAAACCACGCCATCAAGTAGGTGTACGGCAGTCCCACTCTGGGATTGGGGGTCCTGATAACTTCCCCTTCCCCTTCGTCGATAGTCGACACACGGCAGAACTGGGCCGTCAACGTGCGGAGTCCTTGGTGGATACACGCTATCGTCGCCGACACCAAAGAATAGGACTTCCCGTGGGCTAAGCAAACCGCAGGATACACCACCTCCATCGGGAGCGCCTCGAAGGAATGAGTGGGAACCACGCACCTCTTCAGCCACAACATGAGGTACCCCGCGAGCAAAGCCTTCCCAGAGATAGGGGACATGGCCTGGTGGTGAAACGAATGGAAGACCATTCCAGATTCGAACCCGCTCTCGTCATGATCAAGAGCTATAGTGGCTTCCCCTTCGGCCATCCTCTTCTCCACTTCAGCCTGATCGCATATACGCAACGGCAGAGCAGGCATCCCTTTGACATCACTCTCCGGGAATAAATAATCAGCCCAGTTCTTATGACTGATTCCCGGAGCTCTTTTCTTCTTACCCTTGTGATCCACCGCCCCTAAGGTGTTGAGTGTGACGCCCCTGGGTTCACACAAGGCTGCAGTCCAAGGTGAAACCAAGAATGTCAAACCTGCCATGCACCACACCGTGCAATAACATGTTTCACCATCACAATTAACATCTGTCTAGTAGAATCAATAACTGGTGTAGGTACAAAACAGGTAAAAGGTTATACAAGGAATACTGATGAAATGATAACAGTCACATAAATATCTCATCATCCAACAATACAGAAATACATAGCCAAAATCTGAGTAGATAAATCTGGAATACTCAACAAGTCTCATATACAAATGTCTGACAAGAAGGAAATAAGGCACATAGCCTTTACAACTTCTAGAACAATGCTGTCAAATGTCTAATAAAAACTACAATGGAGCTCCAACATGAACAGAACTAGACAGCTAAACACTAAGGTGTGTCGCCATCAACCTGCGACTCTCCGGGCTCCTGGCTCGTTACCTGAAAGGGGGAGGGACAACGAGCGTCAAAGCGCTAGCGAGTAAAACGCTAGCAAGCAACATCACAACCAGCCCCAAGGGAGAGGGCTTGTTGTATAAGAAAATACAGTTATCACAAAACATATATATAGATATATATATAGGCAATTATCCTAGAAATGAACAATGGGCTTTAGTACTTAGGAAGTTTCAACACGGGCATAGGTACGTCGAGCGAAATAATCCAAACAAGGAAACCCTCATATATATACCTTGTATCCCAAATTGAAAATCCCTAAGTACCAAACCCGGAGTCTAATACGTGAACAGAAAATAAATAAAAGGAAAGACAACCCATCTCAGAACATAAGTAGAGTATCATGTGGTGTCCCATGCCATAAAATATCAAGTCGTATTCTACATAAGTGTCATTCCCAGTCTAGGTAGCTATCATGTCTTAACGGTATCAAAAAGTCGTGTTCCAAAACTCAAATGTGTACCATGCTCAAGGTTTGGCAAAAATGTCCAACACATGGACTAAAAGTGATGTAGGTCCAACACATGGACTGAATAGAATGCATGTCCAACACATGGACCAAGATGGTAAGTATCCAACACATGGATCAGAATAATGTATTGTCCAACACGTAGACTATAAATGAAGGAAATGTAATTTATCACTTGCATACATGTAAAAATACACCAAATCTAAACCCGCACGCATCCCGATGTACATGTCTAAACTCATGTCAAAAGTCAACCCACATGCACAGATAAATCATTAACGTGATAAACTAGGGTCAGGTTACCGAGGCGACCCCGAAAGACAACTTAAACAGATCAAGAATCTGTAAAACAGCTCATCAGTCGACTGATGTGTCGACTGATGACGTCAGTCGACTCATACGTCGACTGATGGAGCTCAGACAGCACAGCCTCAGCTCGCCAGTCGACTGACCAGTCGACCGAGAAGCTGAGAAAGCAGAATCAGCCCGTCAGTCGACTGATCAGTCGACTGATGGCTGAACAATTTGCCCGTCGGTCGACTGATCAGTCGACCGACAGACTGCAGATAATCTGTACAGGTTCTTATATACCCAAAATTTGATCTAAACTCATCCCCATCAATTCCAAGCATGAATCATACGAATATTAACATGTATGGACTAACTGAAACATAACTTTCACATACATATACATGAATAAAACTCTAAACATAAGTATTTATGTTTTAAAAACACTTTTCAAAACAAAACCCATGTTAAATCTCTTTTAAAACATTTCAGATCTGGATTTTAAATTTACCAAACATTGGTAGGTTATTTATTATACTGAAAATGCACATCTTCATGTTACATGCAATAAAAATCCAATCTTTGTACTCAAAATACGTTTTAGGCCAAAGAGATCTCAATAAAACCATTTGAAAACGTTTAAAAAGAATGGGACAAGGTTGGGCGAGATGTTACTCGCCTCTGAGGTGATGAAGAGCTCCTGGATCTGAGGGGGAGTGATTCCTTTCGCTGCAAACTGAAGATCCCGACGAAAATCCTCCAATTTCGCCCCAAAATCACCAAGAACTATCCTAGGGTTTGAGAGAGAAGAGAGGGGGCTAGGGTTTCTCTGGTCTGAAGAGGAGAGGGGATGATTTCGGGTGAAGGAGATTATATATGAACCCTTAAACCCGACCCAAACCCGAATCAAAACAAAACAGACCCGAAACCTGTAAAAACTGGAAATCAGCGCATCAGTCGACTGATGTGTCGACTGATACAGTCAGTCGACTGATGTGTCGACTGATCTGGACATTTTCAGTTTTTGTGCATGTTTTGCTTATTTGCAAAACCAACACACAAAACTCTACACCCATACTCTCATATCATCTCAAATAACTTGTTATCATGTACATCAATGACCTCAAGCTATTTATTAACTAAGAATTATTTATTTACTAATAATTCATATATATTCATATATAAAAATTTACGGGGTTCTACATTCTTCCCCCCTTAGAAGAATTTCGTCCTCGAAATTCGGAAACTATATGCATCTCACAACGTGAACTTCCAAATAAACATATAGAGATATTTATACTTAACGCTCTAAAATGGTAACACTCCCGCTCAAATCTTAATCTAGTGGAACTAGTACATCGGGTGAAAAATCCAAACAAGGAACCCCCCATATATATACCGTGTGTTCCGAAAGATTAAGAATTAAGCGAGAATATTCTCATACTAGTGTTAAATGCAAATATAACCAAATGTCCAAATATCATATAAGATACATACCATAAGGTACTTGTCAGAAAATTTATTTACCTGATCAAACAAATGTGGGTAGTCGCGTCGCATGCCCTCCTCGCGCTCCCAAGAAGCTTCCTCAACTCCACTTCGGTTCCATTGAACTTTCACCAATGGAATCACCTTGTTCCTGAGCCTCTTGTCCTCTCTAGCAAGTATAGACACTGGGATCTCAATAGTAGTCAAATCATCTCGAAGCTCAATCTCCGGTGCATCCAACACTCGCTGCTGCTCCTCATCATGCAAGTGCTTCTTGAGCATAGAGATATGGAATACATTGTGTACACTAGACATAGATGCTGGAAGATCTAGTCTGTATGACACCGCTCCAATGCGCTCCAAAATCCTGAAAGGTCCAATATATCTCGGCGCAAGCTTCCCTCGCCTCCCGAATCGCTGCACGCCTTTCATAGGCGATACCTTCAGCATAACCAAATCCCCAACCTGAAACTCTAGTGGTCTTCGCCTCTTATCTGCATAGCTCTTCTGCCGGCTCTGAGCGGCTAGAATCCGCTCTCTGATCAATGCTACCTTCTCGGTAGTCTGCCTCACAAGCTCTGGCCCAAGCATCAAGCTGTCCTCTGGCTCTGCCCAACATATCGGTGATCTACAGGGTCTCCCGTACAATGCCTCATACGGAGCCATCCCGATCGTCGCTTGATAACTGTTGTTATAAGCGAATTCTACCAATGGAATATGATCCTCCCAGCTGCCTTGGAAGTCAATGACACATGCCCGCAACATGTCCTCCAACACCTGATTCACCCTCTCCGTCTGACCATCCGTCTGGGGGTGGAATACACTGCTATAAGATAGCCTGCTGCCAAATGAGTCCTGGAAACTCCTCCAAAAATGTGAAGTGAAAACCGATCCTCGATCCGACACGATCATGTCCGGAAC